TGTGTGTGTGTGTGTGTATGTACGTACAACTATGCCGAGTACGTGTACAGCCGTGTGCGTGCGTGTGTAGCGTGCGTGTTTGGATGAGTCACCCCTCCCCAACCGCCAAGTCCCCTCAAGGCACGAGCGAGGTGGTGGGACCTGCTTGCTAATATAAGTTACAAGCCGGTGTACAGGTGACGAGTAAGTATCTCTCGTGCTTGTTATGGCTGGCAGATCTTTCTTTCATGTTGGGGAGGGAGGGAGGGAGGGGTAAAGGGTGGGGTGTGAGGGGAGGGGGGAGAGAGGGAGGGGGGTGTAAGGGGAGGTGGGGATGTAAGGGGAGGGAGGTGAGAGGGAGAAAGGGTGAAGGGAGGGGATGTAAGGGGAGAGGGTGTGAGGGATGGAGGAGGGGTTTGAGGGGAGGGAGGGAGGGAGGGATGGAGGTGTAAGGGGGGAGGGAAAGAGGGAGGAGGGTGTGAAAGGAGGGAGGTGGAGAGGGAGAAAGGGGTGAAGGGAGGGATGTAAGGGGGAGGAGGAAAGAGGGTTTGAGAGGAGGGAGGGGAGGAGAGCAAGGAGTTAAGATGAGTGACTGTAACGGCATAATATGGTGTGACGAAGGAGGGTAGAAAATGCGTGATCAACTCATTAATTGCGTTCTTCGTTTTTTTTTCTTTTCTTTTTTTTCTTCCTTCTCTCTCTCTCTCTCTCTCTCTGTTCGCTGTCCGTCCGTGTTTGTCTCCTTCTGTCACTTCCTTTTCTTCTATTCTCTCCCCCTCACCCTCTCCTTTCCTATCTCCCTCCCTCCCTCCTCCCCCACCTCTCTCTCTCTCCCTCCCCTTCTCGTTTGCTCTCTCCTCCCTCCCTCCCCCCTCTCTCCCAAGCATCAACCTGATTATAGAGTAAAAGATATCGCATGACACTTTCCGAATAATAAGCACGCATTCGAACACCCCGGGCGAGAGTAGAGAGAGAGAGAGAGAGAGAGAGAGAGAGAGAGAGAGAGAGAGAGAGAGAGAAGAGAGAGTGGGGGGGGAGAGAGAGAGAGAGAGGGAGGGAGGGAGAGAGGAGAGGGAGAGAGGGAGAGAGGGGGGAGAGAGCAAGAAAAAAAAAAAAAACGCGTTCGGAAGCGAAGACGGCGAAAGCTGCATCTGCTTAGCGGCCGCGAGCGTTGCAAAGGGAACGGGACGCGGCCAATCGAATTACCTCATTAACGGGGCTCTGTCGCGGGCTCGGGTGTTCCATCGCCTTCCCGACGCGTGTTTAAAACCCCCTTTTTTCGCGGCGGGTCAAGCGCGGTCGTGGGGCTTGGAGGCTGGCTGCGGAGTCGCTCGAGGTGTGGCGCGCGCGAGCGGGCGTAGGGGGGGGGGCGGGGGTGGGGGGGGTGGGGGGTTACGGAAGGTGATGACGGTCATTATGAATGTAATGAGGCGATTGGATGTCCGCTTCAGATTCAACGTGAGTAAGAGATTTTTTTTTTTTTTTTTTTTTTTTTTCACTGTGAAAAATAACATACAACATATACAAGATTAAATAAAAAACAAAACAAGGCCAAATAAAATAGATTACACCCCCCCCAAAAAAAAAAAAAAAAAAAAAAAAAAAAATCGAAGAAATATGTAAAAATACACAAACCCGCGACGCACACACGAGCAGGAACACCGCGGCGAAATAGCCTCTTTGGTGCTAGCAACGACTTCATTCTCGAGTCGTGGGCGTGATGATCCGTCTGCTAGTCGTTGGGTGGGGTAATTTTGCGTTTTATTGGGTTAGGTCCAGATGGCGAAAGGAGGCGACGAGCGTTCGCGAATGTGTCCCCCCGTGCTTGCGTTCGCTGGCACCGGGCGCTCTCTTCCGATGAGAGGGAAGGAGGGAAGGAGGGAGAGGGAGGGGAGGGGGGAGGAGGGTAGGAGAGGGGGAGGGAAGGAGAGGGAGGGAGGGTGGAGGGGGAGAGGGGAGGGAAGAGGGAGGAGGGAGGAGGGGGAGGGAAGGAGGGAGAGGGGGGAGGGAGGAGGAGGGAGAGAGGGGAGGAAGGGAAGAAAGGAAGGAGAGAAAAAGAGGGAGTGAAAGGGGAATGAAAGAGAAGAGGGGAGTTCCGGTGAATCATCAAGTGATATTTACTTTTTTTCTTGCTTTTATTTTTCTCTTAGAAATACGTGTACTTTCCTTTAACTCTCTCGTCGTCTTCTTCACACCCTCTCTCTCCTTCTCCCTCTCCCTCTCCTTCACTCTCTTTCCCTCTCCCTTTTCTTCTCTCTCTTTCCCTCGCCCTCTCCTCTCTCTTTTCCTTTCCCTCTCCTTCTCTCTCTTTCCCTGTCCCTCTCCTTCTCTCTCTTTCCCTCGCCCTCCCTCCTCTCCCGCTTTTGAATAATGACCCTTATATTCCCGAGTCACATGGCTAGATTCGCTTGCGACTTGGGGCCGGGATGCGTCCCAGGTGATCGCCGAGACGCTGATCCGTTTTCTTTGATGGAGTGATTGTGTGGGTCACTATGATCAGCATCTCATTTTTTATTTCGCGAAGATTACCCGCGTTTTTTCCCCTTTGGATAACGAAACTGAGGGCTATTTACGTTGTATGCTGAGAGAGAGAAAGAGGGGAAAAAATATATGGGTGATTATGCTTCTCCCATTGACAGCGAGTTCTTAATCTCTTGTTTTGAACCAGACGGCGGAGTGGAAAGAAAGGCGCATTTTTGCATCGACCGTTCTCCTAAGACCCGATTGTAATACAAATACAGAAAGTAAACAGCAACATAAAGAATTTGCGGTAAAAAAAAAAAAAAAAAATAGCGCGGCGTGCAAACACAGGTCTGGGTTGCACATGTGGCACTCTGCGTTTTTGTAGCGAGATTGGACCCGTAACTGTCCTGGGCCGTCAGCGTCTGGGCCTCTGGGTTCATTTGCTTGTTCATATTTGTTCATATAGGCTCGCCGTTGGCCCAGAAGGAGGCGTGTGCGAGAGCGGAGTTGGCTTTCGCACTAACCTGTATTTCCTTCGTTTTAACTACCGTCGTCTCAATATTGTAAAGGTGGGTAAACTTCGGGGACAAACTCAGTGCTTTAAGAAGTGAGGTGTTCGGGTGGGTCTAAGCCGGGGGTGACGGACGCACGCCGATATGGCACTTCCTGTGGGACGACACAATGACCATATTAGCTCCCGTCGCCTCTTAAGGGATGCGCCCTTCTTTACCCTCACTTGCCTGGGAGACTTTCGCTTTGGTGGTCTTCAGCTCGGGATCCTTATCTTCGCTCTTATGCTCGGGCGCCGTAAGAACGGATTTCGCGCGATGCGGTACGATTCCATCGCCCAGTCTTGCTTTCTCTCTCTCTCTCTCTCTCTCTCTCTCTCTCTCTCTCTCTCTCTCTCTCTCTCTCTCTCTCTCTCTCTCTCTCTCTCTCTCTCTCTCTCTCTTCTCTCCCTCTCCCTCTCTCCCTCTCTCCCTCACTCCCTCTCTCCCTCTCTCCCTCACCCTCTCTCTCCCTCCCCCTTTCTCTCTCTCTCCCTTCCCCTTTCTCTCTCTCTCCCCTTTCCCCTTTCTCTCTCTCTCCCCTTCCCCTTCTCTCTCTCTCCCCTTCCCCCATTCTCTCTCCTCTCCCCTTCCCCCTTTCTCTCCCTCTCCCCTTCCCCCTTTCTTTCCCCCCTCCCCTCCTCCCCTTCCTCTCTCTGTTTCTTTCTATCCGCCCCCAGCCCCCCCCCCCCCCCCCCCCGTCCCGCGCCCCCTCCCCCTGGGTTGGGACCCGCTGAAGCATTGTTGTTTCTGAGAGGACGCCTCGCGGAATGAAAACAACTCATTTTTTTGACGTGGAAGAGAGCATGTGAGAGGCCACTCGGACTTGAGGGCGGGAGGGGGGGGGTGGCGGAGGGCGAGGAGGACGAGGATACACAGCAGGTAGTGGTCGAAAAAAAGAAAAGAAGTAAGGGAATATGTATATATACATACGTATAAACACACGCACACACACACATATGAGTGTGTGTGTGTGTGTATGTATATATATATATATATATATATATATATATATATATATATATATATATAATATTGTATATATTGTATATATTGTATATATTATACATATATATATATATATATATATATATATATATATATATATATATATATTGTATATATATATATATATATATATATATATATATATATATATATATATATGTATATATATATATATATATATATATATATATATATATGTATGTATTGTATATATATATTTATATATATATATATATGTAATATATATATATATATATATATATATATATATATATATATGTATGTATGTATGTATGTATTGTATATATATGTATGTATATATGTGTATATATATATATATATATATATATATATATAATATATATATATATATATAATATACATATATATATATATATATATATATATATATATATATATATATAATATATATATATATATATATATATATATATATATATATATATATATATATATATATATATATATATATATATTATATATAAATAGAGGAGGGATGGATGAATATATAGATAGAAGAGAGAGAGAGGGGCAGAGACAGTGACAGAGACGGAGAATGAGAATAAAAAGGACATAAAGGAAGACGCAAAGAAAGGAGGCTGAGGGCCAGGAGGCGAAAGGAGCCGAGAGGGCAGCCGAGGAGGCCCGAGAGGCGCCGTGGCCGGCCTTCCGCTGATCTTGAGACGCTGCTGCTGTGAGAGGTCTGTTGTTCGCCGCCTCGGACATCTGCTTCTGTATTTTTATAGCTGTCAGCGCATTCCTGTCGGCGTCGGGGCGTGTGTCGGGGGTCGCCGTCTTCCCCTTCGCGTGTCGGGTTTTTCCAGTCGGGGTGAAAGGGCTCCTGTCGGGGCAAAGCTCTTTTGTCGTCGGTTTTGGGTCTTTTGTTATTTCTAATGGATCGTCCGTGGTATTATTAACATTTTTTCCATTGCTTTTCTCGTCCCTCGTCGCAGCGACTGACCCCGTCTTCTCTTCTTCCAGGTGTGGTTCCAGAACGCCCGCGCGAAATGGCGGCGGAACATGATCTCGAAAGACCCGAAGGCCCTGGCCGGCGGCGGGGGCGGCGAGGGCGGCCTGGGCGAGGGTCCTGCGGGCGAGGGCTCCGTGGGCGACTACCCCGACACGCCCACCGTGCCGCCCTCGGCCATGAGCCCCGACGAAGGCAACAGTTCCCAGGTGTCGTACCAGCAGATGTTCTGACACCTATCCCTGGGAGACCATGAAGGCCACCTGCACATCCCGCCCACTCACATGCTGATGCCGCCCACGCCCGCACTCATGTCTCTCCAGCAAGCCTTCCCGCGGCCACACGCACACGACGTCGCCCCGCCCGCCCTCGCCAACGGGCAGCTGCCGATCGCTATGATGATGGGCAGGGACGCCGCGCCCCCCGCCTGCCCCCTCCTCGGCGCGGACGAAGGCGGCTCCCCGCGGCCGCTGCCTGCCGGCGCGGTCAGCGAGGACGACGAGGACGACACCTACAGCCTCGACGAACACTCCTGCAGCCAGGACGACCAAGGAGACGACATGTTCTACGACCCTCCCCCGCCAGCAGGAGACCCCAGTGCCGCCGTTCGCCAGGAGGACGACAAGGACGAGGGCGTGCGGGGGGGCGCGGACGCCCGAGATGACGAGCGGACGAACCACATGTACCGAGAACTCTTCTAAGCGGCGCAGTGTGCCGCGCGACCTCGGCCTCGTGGTCGAGTAACAAGAGCGCGCTGCAGCCCCACGGCGGCGGCGACGCCACTAGGAAATAACCAGTGTTACGGGAAACTCTTTCAGTGACAGTGATCGCGGGCGCCGCCCTGAGTGACTCGAAGTGAGCCCGCGGCCCTTAGTCGATGGCGCGAGCCCTTGCCAGGAACCCTCTGTCCTGACGCAGTGGAAACGGACCAGCTCAGGACCCGGGCAGTGACTCCCCAAGCGTCATGAATCTTAAAAAGTTCTTTATATTGCCAGTCTATTTATTATTACTATAAATATGTGAGTGTTGCACTTACTTGTGGCGGTCTGTCGACCCTTGAGGTTGCGGCTGATCAGCGTATATTCCAGTGTTCCCATAGATATATATATAGTATTTAACGCGACCTCAGTGTTGTCCGACGCTGAAGTTGAACATTCGTAAGGACGCCTCTTCGAAGAAGGGTCGCCGAAACCTCATCTGTAAACAAAAACAAACAAAAAAATATATCGTGAACCCGTAGGCGCAGCGCATTGCGAGGCGGACGCTCCAGGGCCTGCCACCGCTAGCGTGTTAGCGGTGGAGCCACGGCCGGCCAGGGCTTGTCCCAGCTCCGCCTCCTCGCGCTCGCTGGTACTTCGTTCCCCTGTGTATCTGCTCCTCTTGCGAACCAAGTCGATGTGGATGTCATCATTTTGTTCATCATATGTACAATAAGCAACTTCACCACTCAGCGCACAGAGCGAATTCCGATTTCCTCTCGAAGGGAGCTGATTCCAAAGCGACACTTCCTGCTTCTTCCTTCTCGCTTCCTCTCCGCGCGGGAAGAACGGAAGGAAGGAGGAGGAAGTGATGTCCCAGCGCCCTCTGATCACCCGACGCCATCATGTCTTTGCTCATGTCAAACAAGTCTCTTTCGCCCCGACGGCTGGATGTGTAGATGTACAGTATATCGTATTAATTGTGAACACTTCATGCGGCTTTCGTATGATCGATAACTGGTTTTGATTACACGCAAACTTTTAAAGCAAAGTAGCAAAAAAAGAAGAAAAAAAATGTACTTTATTTTGTGTGGATGTATATATGTATATGTAAAACAAATAAATATATATGGAAGTGAGCACGGCGAGTCAATTGCACACATCAGAGTCGAAGACGGAGTTCGGCGTGGGCGGGAGAGCACCTGGAGGGCCGCCGAGACTCCGCTCTTGGCGCCCATCCGCTCGGGCCCAACTCCACGCCCATCCGACAACCGAAACGGCGTGATTAAAACCGGTTATTTTGGCTCACGAAAGGTCGAGATTCTAACCCTTCGGCTTGTAAGTGGATACGTATATTGTTAAGGTCGTATTTGGAGTTTTTTTTTTCTTCTTCCCTTCTTTCTCTCATTTAGCCTTTACACAAGAAGAAATGTGATGTGTCTCTCCAAAGGTCTCTTGGCCAGACAAATATTTGGATTTCATAAAATCTCTCTTTTTCTTTTCCTTTTTTTATATTTTCCTTCGGCACAACATTTGCTTTGGCGGGAAGTTACATCCGGGAACTCGCAACAGCGGCCGCGGAACAGCGTTGCGTTCGCGCTCCGTTTGCGCCGTTGCGTCAAAGGGGTCTCTCGCGCGGGACATTCGGCCGAGGACCCCGGCCGACGCGCAGCTTTTGGCAGGAGGTCTTTTCAGCATTGGGACCGCCGTTTTGATTCCTCTTTCTCCTCTTCTTCCTTTCTTTTTTCTTCTTCTCTTCTTCCTTCTCTTTCTTCTTCTTTCTCTTCTTCCTTTCTATTTTTTTCTTCTTTCTCTTCTTCTTTTCTATTTTTTTCTTCTTTCTCTTCTTCCTTCTTCTCTTTTTTCCCTTTTTTTCTTTTTTCTTTATTTCTTGTTTGTCTTCTGCTGTTTCCTTTTAGCAAATGTGTATGGATAATTTAAATGCAGACACACACACACACACACACACACACACACACACACACACACACACACACACACACACACACACACACACACACACACACACACACACACACACACACACACACACATACATACATATCTGGCGCGAGTGACCAATGTTGAAATCTTTAATGTTTATGAACGCACAATGGTGCACACATAAAACATTTCCACGCAGGCTTTTAATGAATTCAGATATCAATTAATTTTTTCACAAAAAGGAAAACAAAAACATTGAACCATGATTTTGCTGCCAACTTTAGCCATTGCTGCCAACTTTCTTGTCAAAGCAGGGGTACCAACCGGATGTCGATCAAAGCAAATATATGTGAGAAAAAAAGCGGTGATTGTAACCCTGGCTGCTTTATTTTATTTCTCCGTATGATATACGATGAATATACATTTTTTTTCTCGTTCAGAAAATAGTCTAGAGTTTAGAACAGCTTCCGAACTGAAGAATTTTACCGTCTAGCTATAAGACCGGTTACACCAACCCCCACCCCCCTCCATACCCACCCACCACCAGTACCTCCTCCTCCAACCCAACCCTTCTGAATACTTGTAAAGATTCCGCTTCACTCTAAGTGTTTCCTCTTGATCTGTACAAATGATTCTTTGTCAATAAAACGTCTAATTTTCTTCGGTGTCTTGTGTGTCCTTATATTACACTGATAAAAAAACAACATTCAACATTAAAAGGCAGAAAAGAAATAATGTTCTGAGACATTGCAATGCAGTGGAAATGAAATCAAACTAACCCCATTATGGTAATGAGGATTGTAATATTGGTAATAAATGTGATAGTATTAATAATGATATTATTAAGATGGCAACGATGATAATGATAGAAATAACAAAAGAGAAGAATCCTAAAGATAAAGACAAAAGAGAAGATAATAATCAGAAAAGACTAGGAGAAGAGTTACCATTAATTAGTCATATGATTATCATCAAATATGATTGTTATTCGTAATTACAAAAATGATGATAGTGATGACAACATTAACAAAGACAATAATATTATTAATAATAATGATAATCACAGCGTTGATGAAAATAGCGAGGATTATCAAAATAACAATGCCAATGGTAACAATATAATTACTACTACTACTAATGATGAAAAAAAATAATGATAATAATATTGAAAATAATTATAATGATAATGATTACAATAATGAGAATAAGAATGATGATAATCATAATTATAATAATAATAGTAATGATAACAATAATAATGATAATGGTGATAATGATAATAATAACAATAATAGTAATGACGAAAATTACAATAATGATAAAAAAAAATAAAAGCAATAATGATGATAGTGACAAAAAATCATAATGATAATTATGATAATAATGATCATGATGAAATGATAAAAAATAGCAATGATAATAATAATAATAGAAATAACGGTAATGTAACAGTAATGATGATAATAATGATAAATAATGATGATGATATATAATAATAGAAATGATATTAGCAAAATGATAATGATGATAATAATGAAAATAATAACAGCGATGATAATAATGATAATAAAGAGAGCAATAATAATAATATAGATGACAGTAATGATAGAAATAGTGATAATAAAAATGATAACAACAATAGCAGAAAGAAAATAGCACCACCAATAATGAAAAAAATAATAATGATGGTGATAATGATAATGATAAAAATAGTTTTATAATGAGTCATAATGATAATAACAATAACGATAATAACCATGATAATGATAATAATAATAATAATAATGATAATAATAACAATAATAATATTTATAATAATAGTAATAATAATAATAATAATAATAATAATAATAATAATAATAAATATAATAATAATATAATAATAATATAATAATAATAATAATAATAATAATAATAATAATAATAATAATAATAATGATAATAATAATAATAATTAATAATAATAATAATGATAATGATAATAATAATAATAATAATAATAATAATAATAATAATAATAATAATAATAATAATAATAATAATTAATAAATAATATAATAATAATGATAATAACAACAACAGCAACAACAATAATAATAATAATGATTGTAATAATGATTATGATAATGATAATGATATAAAAAATGATAAAGATAATAATAATAATAATAAAATTACAATGATGATAATGATAATACAATACAATAATAATAATAATGATAATGATAATGATAATAATAATAATAATAATAATAATAATAATAATATGATAATAATAATAATAATAATGATAATAATAATAATAATAATAATAATAATAATAATAATAATAATAATAATAATAATAATAATAATAATAATAATAATAATAATAATAAAAAAAAATGACAATGGTGATGATAATAATAATGATGATGACAATAATGATGAAGATAATAATAATGATAATAATAATGATAATAATGATAATAATAATAATAATAGTAATATATAAGTATAATAATAATAATAATAATAATAATAATAATAATAATAATAATAATAATAATAATAATAATAATAATGATAATAACAATAATGGTAATAGTAATATTAATAATGATAATAATGATAATAATAATAATGATAGCAATAATGATAACAATGATAATGATAATTATGATAAGAACAAGAAAAATAACAATTGTGACAATAAAAAATAAAGACAATGCTACCAATAACATAATAATAATAACAAAAAGTGCAGTAATAATCATAATACAGTAACAACAATGACAGCAATAACAATAATAATAACAATAACGCAAATAATGATAATGATGATGATAATAATGATAATAACGATTATAATAACAATGATGATAATAGTAACAATAATAATGATAATAACAACAATAATATCAATGATAATAATAAAAATAATTATAACAATAACAATGATAATAGCAGCAGCAACAATAACAACAACACCAATGATAATGCTAAGAATGATAATGATAATAATAGTAATAATAGCAATAATGATCATGATTATTATTATTATTATTACTATTATCAATATTATTATTATTATTATTATTATTATTATTATTATTATTATTATTATTATCATTATTATTATTATTATCATTATTATCATTACTATTATTATCATTAGTATCATTATGATGATGATGAAGATGATGATAATGGGATTAACAATAATAATAACAGTGATAATTATAATAACATCAATCAATGTAAATAATGAAAATAATAACAACGATAATGATAATAACAACAATAGTGATAATGATAATGATGATAACAATAATGATAATGGTATTACCAATGATGATACTGGCAATAATGATAATCAAAACATTGATAATGATGATAATATAAATAACAATAACAACAATGATATGATAATGATAACAACAACAATAATAATAACAATAATGTCGATAATAGAAGTAACAATACGTATAATAATAATAGCGGTAATAATGATAATGATAATAAAAATAACAATACTAATAATAATTATGAAAATTATGATAATTATAACAGTAATGATAATAATGATAATGACAGTAATGATAACAATGATAATAATAATAGTGATAATAATAATGATAATAATGACAATAATAATCGTAAAGATGCTAATAAAAGTAATAATGATGATGATGATAATAAGAATAAAGATAAAAATGATAATAATAATTATCATGGTAATAATAGAAATAATAATGATGACAATAATTAAGATAATGATAATGATAATAACAGCAACAATGATAATTATAACAATAATAACAATAATGATGATAATAGCAATAAACAATTATAATAATGACAATGATAACAATAATAACAATAATCAAGGTAATGATAATAATAATAACGATAACAATACTAGCAAAAATAACAACATTGATAGTAATGATGATAATAATAATGAAATAGTAATGATGATAATACTGATGATGATAATAGTACTAATAAAGATAATACTAACAAAAATGATAATAATAATGCTATCATTATTGATAGTAATGATAATAATGATAACAAGAGTAGCGATAATAAACATAACAACTACAACATGAACAGCAGCAGCAACAACAATAATAACGATAGCAGCATTAATGAAGATAATGATGATGATAACATTAATGATGATAATAACAATGCTAATGCTAATAATAAAGATAATAATAAAGATGATAATGACAATGATAACAATAAGCCTAATACCAATCAGAACCATAATAATAATAATAATAATAATAAAAATAATAATAATAATGATGATAATGATGATGACAAGAACAATAACAAAAGCAACAATTATAGTAAAAATAACATAAATGATAGTTGATATGAAAATATTGGCAATGAAAAGGGAAATGGTGATGATTACCATGATGATAAAAAAGAAAAAAAAAAAATAGAAATAATTACTGAATTTTCATCCTGTTGAAGAAGGAGGAAGGCACTTAAGATGATGAAGAGAAGAAGAAAAATGAAAAGAAGAGAAAGCAAAAATGATAATGATAATTAAAAATAACAATAATAATAATAATAATAAAATCATAACAATAAACAAATAAAATGAGTAAGAAAAAAAATAAAAAAAAAACAATAAACAATTGTGATACAACATAACCCGGAAATAAAGATAAGAAAAGTTGCCAGAAAGATGAGAGTGAATAGATAAACGGATAAAGAGAAATGTCTGATAGAAAGGACGATAGATATGAAAGTAACAATTCAAAACGAACAAAAGCAAAAAGAAATGGATAACTTGACCGAACAAATCAATAAAAACACAGACGAAAAAGAAAGAAAAGATAAAAAAGACAAAAAAAAAAAGAAAAAAAAGAAGAAAACCAAAACACGCAGGAGAAATCTTCGGAGCAACAGTAGGAAGAACAGCAGGAGCGGCAGGCGAGGTGAACAGCAGGAGGAACAGCAGAAGCGGAGGGGAAGTGAAGTGAACAGCAGCAGCAGGAAGAACAGCAGAAGCAGCGGGCGAAGTGAACAGCAGCAGGAGGGGGGAAGAGAAGAAGCGACGGGCGAAGTGAACAGCAGAAGCGGAGGGCGAAGTGAACAGCAGCAGCAGGAGGGGGAACAGCAGAAGCAGTGGGCGAAGTGAACGCAGCGCGGGCGAAATGAACAGCAGCAGTAGGAGGGAGAACAGCAGAAGCGTGGGCGAAGTGGAGCACAGCAGAAGCAGCGGGCGAAGTGAACAGCAGCAGCAGCAGGAGGAACAGCAGAAGCGGAGGGCGAAGTGAACAGCAGAAAGGGCGAAGTGAACAGCAGCAGCAGGAGGGGGAACAGCAGAAGCAGTGGGCGAAGTGAACAGCAGAAGCAGCGGGCGAAGTGAACAGCAGAGGAGGGAACAGCAGAAGCGGAGGGCGAAGTGAACAGCAGAAGCAGCGGGCGAAGTGAACAGCAGCAGCAGCAGGAGGAACAGCAGAAGCGGAGGGCGAAGTGAACAGCAGAAGCCGAAGTGAACAGCAGCAGCGAACAGCAGAAGCAGTGGGCGAAGTGAAGCGGAGGGCGAACAGCAGGAGGGGGAACAGCAGAAGCAGCGGGCGAAGTGAACAGCAGAAGCGGAGGGCGAAGTGAACAGCAGCAAGCAGCGAGGGGGAACAGCAGAAGCGGAGGG